CCATGGCAACCGCGGCCGGGGCCGCGCCCGCCGCGGGCGGGCGGGGGGCGCTGCTCAGTCGCCCTGGCAACCACGCGCGCCGGGGAAGGAGCCAGGGCCCGCGTCTCGGGGACCCCGGCCTCAGCCTGGCCTGGGTCTGCGAGGGGCGGTCTGGCGGGCGGGGCCTGGCTACGGCTCCGCCCGCAGCCTGCAGGGGGCGCCCCAGGCCCAGCGCAGACCCCTGCTTGCGGGTCCGGAAAAGGAAGGAGGGAGTCCGGGGGCGGGGCGGTTCGGCCAGGGGCGGGGCCTGGGTCCCTGGGACGTGCGCGCGCGTGTGCGCGTGCGTGCCCAGCAGGCCGCGGTCCTGCGGCCCTTGGCTTATCCGCGTTTCCGCAGCCGGCACTCACCCGTGCGTCGGGCTTCCTGCCCTGTGCGTCCTATCCCAGGCCTCGCGGGTACTGACTGTGCCTGTGCGGGGGACCCTGGCTCCCCTTCCCGTCACCTCCGAGATGTCCCTAAATGCACCTTCCCCAGGGACCTGGGCCGGTGTCTAGTGGTCGCCTCATGACGGCTGGGCCCAGCCTTGCAGGGAGGCGGCCCCGCCAGGTCACTGGAGTCAGGGATGGGAGCACTGGGGAATGGGGGCAGTGGGCCCGGCTGGAGTCAGACCTCTCCCAGTGGACTGTCCACCGTAAATGGCTGCCTTCACCCAACGCACAGATCCCTTTTGCAGAGGCTGCGCTTTGCTGCCAGCGTCAGGAAAGGAAGGAGAGTTTCGAAATCAGGGCCGGCCCCTCCACCCACACCGGAACTAGAGTGCAGGCCTCAGCCGCCTGAGCTCTGTCGTTGTTACCCTGGCCGCAGCCTGGGGTCTGGTGTTGGTGGGTGGTGAGGCAGCCGCCAGGCTTGGCCAAGGCTGACCCTCTGGTCTCAGTCTCCCTATTGGTAAGATAACTAACTACATATTTCTTCTAGAAGTTTGAACTGAGCCTCTGGGCTGGGAGGGCCTGGTTGCCATTTTCACCCTGCCCTCTCGGTGTGGGTAGGCGGCTCCCGTGCTATCTGGGATCTTTGCCACTCTGCCCGGTGGTGTCGTCAGGTCGCTGTGAAGTCCTTGGCTCTAGAGCAGCTCGAAGGCCTCCGAGTGTCCAGAACTGGACATCCGGCCACACTACCCCGCGGCAGCCCTCTCTAGCCTCCACCTTCCTTGGAAAGGGCTCTCCCTTCCCCCAGCTTCTTCAACCCAAATCTTAGGGCATGTTCTCCCGCCGGGCCCCTCCTGATTTCTGCAGCCTGGCACACAACTCTCCACCGGCATGAATCCTAATTCCACTGTCTCCTCAGCCCTCTTCCAGGACCCCTTCTGCCTCTCCAACCCCCAAGTGGGGCTTCCCCCCTGCTGAAAGCCTGTTTCCACTGTCAACCCTGACGCCATCCCCAGGACTGCATTTCAGCTCCCTCTGGGACATCTCTGTGCCCGGTGTCCTATGCTATCCCGTTAGCATTACCTAAAACCAGATCTGGTCACATTCACCCTCTTTCCCCCGGGGCTGCACTCCCTGGCGGTCCTCTGAATGTGCCATAGACCTCCCTGTGGGCCCTCTTGGACTCCTACCTCTCTGTCGTCCCCGAGTGGGGCCCATTCCTGGTGGGCCGTGTTCTTCCTGTCCTTGCATTTCTTCCCCGGACAAGCAGTGGCCCCTAGCCTGTCTCCCTGCTTCCTATCCTTTGCCTCCGTCCCTGCCTCATGGGCATCGATCAGTCCGCCCTCATCACCCAGCCTGTCCAGAGCCTTCAGGGATTCCCAGAGCCTCTCCAAGTTCAGACCCCACGTCCGCTCACATCTTTATCACTAAGTGCGCCCCGGGCTCCGGGCCAGGTTTGGCCTGGTTTTCAGGACCTCCCCAGGCTGGCTCCTTCCCACAGTGCTCCTAACCTAAGCCACTCCTGACTGCCTGGCCGTTCCCTGCATCAGGAACATCCTCCCCAGCTCCCCGCCCCCGCGCTGCGGGCCCAGCCCAAAGGCCTTTCCCTCTGAAGACTCAGCCTCTACTTCCAGAGCACCCCACCCCCAGCAGCCTTCCTGCACGTAGGCCCCTCAGCCCTGCCCAGCAGAGCCCCGCATGGAGCGGACAGCAACAGACATCCCCTGGGGGGGTCTGAAGGGCAAGGACATGGGGGAAACCAAGTGGAGCAGGGCCTCCGGGGAAGGGGCCCAATGCTAAGGCATCCCTCGGGCCTCAGAGACCCTTACAGGGCAGCAAGCCAAGAGAGGAGGCTAAAGCCAGGCAGGTCCAAGGGCCCAGAGGCTGCCGTGTGACCCCGAAGGACAGAGGTGCTTGTCGGACTGCCCGGAGGGTGTCCTCAGCACAGTGCCTGGCGAGCCGGGGTGCTCAGTCAGCCAGTCCACACGGGACACCAAGCACCGAACTGCAGGCACCTCTTCCTGCTTCCCTGGAGAGCGGGCAGAAGACGGCTTCTGCTCCCCTAGCGTGGGAGGACAAGCTGGGGGGGTGGGGGGTGGGAGAGCAGTGGAACCCCCTGCCCCGGCCCCAAAGAGGGGCGGGGCCAGGGCAGCCTGGCCCTGGATGCCTGGCGTGGCAGTGGAGGGGACCCAGTGCCCCCGAGACCCGGCCCAGTGCTAGCTGAAAACGGTGACTGGGCACAAAAGAATCAGACACAGCCAAGTCAGGCACCATTTTTTATAAAAACGCATAGTCTCATTTTCCACTCTTTAAAATCACATTCAAAAATCGGCAAAGGAACACCCCGGGGAGTGAGTAGATGGGACGGGAGGGTGCGCCAACCCAGCCCCAGGGGTCGGGGGGGGTCGGGGAGAGGGCGCGACACCACACAGGGCAGCGCGACTGGCACAAGGGGACATGCGGCGGGCGGGGGGGGGCAGTGGCACTGACGGGACATGGGGCTATGGGGCTGGACAGCCCGGGGGGCACACTGACCGGCCGGGAGAGGCGAGGGCTGGCCCCACCTGGCCCCTCTCGCTGTGCTGCCCGGCCTGTCCAGGCTGGTCCCCCCCTGGTCCTGGGCAGATGAGGCCTGGCCCAGCCCGGGGAAGGGGGGTGGGGGGTGGCAGGGGACCTCGGGGCCAGGCGAGGCCAGTGTAACACAGCCCACAGCTGCCTTTCTGTGGTCCCTGAGCCCGGGCGCTTGGTGTGGGAGAAAGGGGGCACTGCAGGGAGGGCAGCGGGACCTGCTGCCAATGCCACCCTCCTGGCCGAGCCCCTCGGGGTCCGCAGACAGTGGGGATGGAGGCAGCCAGCCAGTGACACAGGGGTTCTTCCCGAGCAAGGGCACACGAGCTCAAGTCGCTGCGGCGAGGCCCTGGGGTCAGGGAGATCGTGGGCCCCTCCTCCACCAACCGGCCAGAAGACAGGACAGTGCAGGACTGTGCCCCTGGCACGGGAGGGGCTGCGGTGGGAAAATTCAAGTAGTGTCCCTGTGCTGCGGCCTCCCCCGGGGTAGGGGACATTGGGCCACCCTCAGAGCACAGCCCAGAGCCTGAGGGGGCACAACCTGGTGTGACATCATCCCCGGGGAAGGGCCAGGAGGGCTGCCGGGGCTGCTGCCCCATCCCCCACCCCCACCCCCGCCCCCGCCCCCGCCCCTCCGCGGGAAGACACTGGGAGGGGAGGGCCCTGGAGGGTCAAGGCTGAGGGCAGCTGGACAGTGGCTGGGTTGGTGGCAGCAGGAGCCAAGGCAAGCGGGGCCCCCCCTGGGGGCTGGGCCAGGCTGGGGCCACAGGAAATCACAATAATTACAAAATAAAACCTTTTCCGCTTGGCGGGAAAACAAATAATAAAAATTCGACAAAATAAATTAGAGGTTTATAAAAGGCGGGCGGGTCAGAGGCCGTTGGCGCTGCCGCGCTGGACCAGTGGCACCTTGCTCAGCTCCACGACGGGCGAGCGCGGCTTGTTCTTCATCTTGGGCACGCGCTGCACCAGCTGCTGGGCCTCGCGGTAGGCGTCGCGCAGCTCCTTCTTCCACTGCACCAGCTCAGGGTCGCTCTGAGGGCACGGGGGGGGGGGGGGGCGTCAGGTGGAGGGCCGCCCCCGCCCCCCCGCCCCCCGGCTAGGTCCCCAACCTGCACCGGCCCCTGGCCCCCGGCCCCACTCACGTCACACTGCAGCACAAACTGTTTGCCACCCCGGATCTTGAGAAGGAGGCACTTCCGCTCCTTGATCTGCGTCTCCTCCACGGACTGGATCTCCTCCATGGTCAGCAGGCTCTGCTGCAGGGGGGAGGGGGCGGGGAGGGGCGGTGAGAACGCAGGACCGCCCCCCCCACCCTGCCCCCAGCCCGCTTCTTACCGGGGCCTCGCCCTCGCCCCGCCACTCCAGCCGGTTGGGGAACAGGTAGAAGTACCGCCGCTGCCACTGGGTCAGGAAGGGGTTGCCCATCTTGGACATGTAGCCGTGCATGATGCAGTCCTTGCCCAGGGCGTAGTCTGACGAGGAGAGTTGAGAAGCGGATTCAGCCAGGCCCGCGCGGGGTCTGAATCCCTGGTTTGGCCGCACCGGCTG